CAGAGGCTAGAGGAAAAAATCCTCTGCCCCCGTCGGGGATCGAACCCCGGTCGTCCAGCCCGTAGCTAGTCACTATACTGACCGAGCTATCCCGGCTAATTAAACAAATAAACAAGTAAATTAACTTATTAATGCAAGTCTGTAATAATTTTAACACATACCCTTTCATACATTCATTTTGAAAACAACAATTATATTATTTAATGATGAAATATTAACTTTTCAGTCTGGTTAATGATGCTTTATCAACAGCACTGATCGTACATTTTTGGACAAAAAATGACATGATTATTAACTGTGAGAAGCATGAGTCTGTGGAATGAAGCAATTATGGTTCTATAAAAATTGTTATTCTGGAGGGACTGACAAAAGCAATGAAAACTGTAGTTAACTGTTGCTGTTACGACAAAGACGAGTTCTGTACCTAAAGGAAAGTTACCAAGTGATTTTGACCATATTGGTCAAAACTTAACACCACCTTAAGCTGAGTAGTAATAATAGAAGCATGCAGATATCATTAATCAGTTTCTGTCCCAAACATCGCTGCCTATCTTATCTTTTATAACAATTTGTTGCAGTTGTCGCATTCAGATGTCCACGAGGTCCTGCTTCAGTCTGTGCAGATGGTCAGCTCTGGAATGTACTTGTGTGAAATTTCAACAGAGGCACCTTTTTTCTACACTGTATCCAGTCATGGAGCCCTGACAGTCATTGGTAAGTAATATTGTCCTGGAAAAATTTGTGATCAATGTGGCCATTTCAAAATCGCTAAAAGGAATAGATATCAACCTAAAAATATGCCAAAATATTACAGGAAAATGACCTGAAGATTTGACAAAATCCATCTTTGTTCCAATATATAAAAAAGGATCGAAGAGGAAGTGTGAGAACTATAGTTTAATAGCGTTAATATCGCACGCCAGTGGAGTCATGCTCCAGATCTTACAGAATTGTTTAAAAACCTTTTTAGACCATCAGATACCTGATTTGTTAAAGGCAAAGGCATAAGAGAACAACTTTTAAATGTAAGGCAAATAGTCGAGAAGGCCAGGGAATTTAATACTCCGGTTTATCAGTGCTTTTTGGACTATGAAAAGGCCTTCGATTCCGTGAAGTGGAGCCATCTCTGGCGAATATTTGCTTACGAGTGCATGGGTCTCTCTCCTCACCTGTCGAAACTGATAAGATTCAAATGCGGCCGTAGTAAAAATACAGGATAAGATCTCGAAAACATTCTGAGTCAAAGCCGGCGTTCGTCAGGGATGTATCCTATCCCCGTTGTTGTTTAACAAATACGGTGAATATGTTATGAGGATCATCCTGGATGGATGGGATAATGGCGTTTTAATTGGTGGTAGCAAAATAAACAATCTGCTATACGCTGATGACACTACGTTGTTAGCAATATCCATGGAGAATCTGGTGGAATTGATGGAGAGGGTGGAGAGCGAGTGTCATGACGTACGAGGTGCGATCAGAAAGTTTCAAGACTGCGCCTATAAAAACCCGTACACTTATCTCAGGTATTAAATTCATCCATCACCCTCGAAGTAGTTCCCCTGGGAGTGAACACAACGATCCCAGCGCCGCTGCCAAGCCTGGAAGCATCCCTGGAAATCTTTCTTTGTCAGCCTGTCAAGCACCATCTGCGATTCTGCCTGAATCTCTTCTATCGTCTCAAATCTCATTCCCTTTAGCTGAATTTTCATCTTGGGGAAGAGGAAGAAGTCACACGGAGCTAAATCCGATCCCATAGTCTATCCCAACAATGTCGCACAAGTCGTTATGGTACGACGTCGATCTTCGTGAATGGCCTGCCGACTCTTCGTAACATTTTCGGGCGTTGTGCTCGAAGATGGTCGTCCAGAACGCTCGTCATCATCGACAGCGGTTCGGCCATTTTTAAAACGTGAATGCCACACAAACGTTTGTGCACGACCCATTGCGGACTCCCCAAATGCTTGCTTTAGCATTTCATAGGTTTCCTTAGCCGTTTTGGCGAGTCTTTGGCAAAATTTGATTTGTTCATGAAAATCCGCCATTCCGAAATCGCAGGAGGGTCGGTGTAATGCACTACCAAAACGCCCGTAACTAAGAAACAAATGCTAATTCGATGATGCCGGCTGGCACACTGATTCACTATGAATGTAGGCCCAACCCCTTAGCGGCAGAAGCTCGTACTACATCCGGTTAGCCCTCTATTGACACAGTCTTGAAACTTTCTGATCGCACCTCGTAGGATTACGCCTAAATAGACGGAAAACAAAAATCATGATTGTAGACCGTCAAAACAATAATAGACCTGAAATAGGCCACATCGCAGGTTGCGAAGTGGTCTCGAAATTCTTATATTTGGGCTCACAAAGGTGGCTCCACCGATGAAATTAAAAGGCGGATCATAATGGCCAAAACATCCATGGTCAAACTGGCAAAGATCTGGAGAGACAAAGGCATCACGATTAACTCCAAAAAACGCTTGGTCGACTCTTTGATCTTTTCAATATTTAATTATGGAGATGAGTCGTGGACTGCGTAAAAAGACCGCGATCCCATAGACGCCTTTAGAATGTGGTGTTGGAGAAGATTACTATCAATACCCTGGACTGCCCGTCGAACTAACATCTCGATATTGAATGAGCTCAGAATAGAGCATCACTGGTCTTCCAAGATCTATGACCGAATCCTGCGCTTTTTTGGGGCACATTATGCGAAGAGAAAGTGGCCTAGAAGAACTGGTCGTGGAAGGCAAAGTCCAGGGTAAGAGGCCAAGAGGAAGATGCCCAGGGAGATGGATAGATCAAGTGAGCGTGCTCACTGGAAATTCGCTCCGAGACGCCACTACAAAAGCACTGGACAGGGAAGAATGGCGGCAGGAGATTCGTCGGGCCCTGCAATACGAGGTCACGACGTCTCAGTCATGAGGCAGTACGACGAAGAAGATTCAAGTAATACGGGATATTAGCTTGTATTTTTAGAGGTCCTCTTCTAATTGTATTGTACCACGCTGAATTTCTGAAGACTGTCAGACACTAAGCTGGAATAAGTGGAACACACAAATGTAAACAGTACTGATACTGTTATAGTATTTTTATTTTTTTTGTAGTGTTCTGTCTGACGACAGGTCCATATATTATGAACAGGATCCTTCCAACCTCTTCAGGTTGACAGGGACCTGCTCATACATATATACATTCTTGGCAGAGATGATCAGAAGTGGTTTGCCATTGCCTTCTTCTGTGTGTGAGTGGAGTAATTGTTGGGATGCCACGGAGAAACCGGGGAAGCCCCCGGAGGAATAGTACTAATAATTTTATCTTTTTTTAGGAATATCTTGATGAAGTAATAACCCTGAGGTACTGTGGTTCGTATTTGGAGTGAGGAAATAAGCTGAAGTGTTTTTAGAGTTTCTTTGGATATTTCTTTCATATTTTGTAATTTTGTGGGACAAAAAGAAAGAATGACTGCTTGGAGATAATTTTAAACATTCAAGATTTGGTAGCTTTTAGGATATTGTTAGTAAGCAAACCCAACCCTTAAAGTGGACAATTCAAATACACATGGGTGTCCGACAATTAGAAATGCATTTTAGATACATGAGCTTATGTTCTTGTATATATACAAAGTTGATAATATTGTTAAGATGTATTGCAAATACATATCACAGGAAACATTTCTGTTTTTGTTAACAAGGGAATGAATAATTTTTCATTGATGTGTTACGATATTTCCTATTACTTGCTTCATAATATTTGGGTTGAGCCACAGACCCCTTAACTGCCTGCCCCTGGAGCAGCAATGTCACTGCACCCCAGGTAATCCAACTTTTCTCAAATTTCAGCTACCGGACTTACAGGCGAGCCAAACATCAGGGGACTGAGAGGATTATACATGGAGGGTGATATGGTGGAAGCTAACTGTACATCACCTCCTTCAAACCCAGTAACAAATATTACTTGGTACATGAATGACAAACAGGTAAGTCACAGGAAAGTTAGGCAGTAGTTTAAGGACCATTGCAGAGTCTCATGGACAGTTGTAGGCCTTCTTATAACCAATATCAGAGAACTTTCTTATGTTCAGTACTATTTTCATTCTCTGAATGAACCAAGTTGCCTCGCCCAGTACACCCCCAGCCCCATATTATCCTAGCCCGGTCCAGCCCAATGCCCAGCTGTCACCATGCCCAGTCAAGTTCAGCTCAATACCCAGCTACATGCCCAGCTCAGCACATCAAACGCCTTGTTCACCCCACCTGAGCCACATTCCCTGCCTAGCCTTATTGATATCATCCCAGAAACCCCCATAAGTAAAATATTGATTTTTTTTTAAAAAAATTGAAGTTCCAATTTTTAATTTTTTAGTTTTATGCGCTTTTTGAACATTTGCCAACATTTTTGATTTTTAGAAAATTTTGAAAATTTTGAAAACTTTCTTCAAAATTCTCCGCACTCGGTCTCCACCGGAACAACTCCGTGCAAAGAACCGGGCTCGCCGAGACCCGGCCTCGCCATGACACGGCCTCGCCGATACCCGTCCTCTCCCACACCCGGATAATTTTGAAAAAAACTTCAAATTTTTCAAAATTTTCGAAAAATAAAAAAATACCGGAAATTGTCTAAAAAGCGCACAAAACCAAAATTGTTTGAAAATTATGGACATTTTCTTCAAGTTGAAAATTATCAGTTTTGTACCCATTTTGGACAATTTGCAGCGATTTTTGATTTTTTGAAAATTTTAAAAAATATCAAATATTTTTCAAATTTCTCCCCATCCGTCCCCTGCCTGAACGTGCTTTTCCTACCGTAACCTGCTAGGCTCTGTCCCGGAACACTTGCTGGACACGGTGTCTCACGCATCCTCTCTCTGAAGGAACCGTCTCTGCACGATAAGATCTCTGTATTACCGTGTCCCTGAGGGATCTTCTCTGTGATGAACTAGTACAGCAGAGACCGGGTGAGGCAGACATCGAGTCCGACAGAGTCGTTGTGATGCAGACTGCGACCGACAAAGTGCGGGTGATGCAGAGACCGATGGTTGCATACTCCGGATGTGGCCGATTGTGGGTCTAGCATAGACCGGTTGTGGCAGGACAGAGACAACCAGAGACGTGTTCTGCTGATGATCGTATGGGGCAATTTTGAAAATTGTTTAAAAATTTTCGAAAAATCAAAAAATTCTGGAAATTGTCTAAAATGCGCATAAAACCAGAAATTTAGGAAAATAATGGAAATTTTTACAAGTTGAAAATTTTCAACAGTTTTTGGTTTTGTGCCCGTTTTGGACAATTTGCAGCATTTTATGATTTTTTGAAAATTTTGAAAAATTTCATTTTATTTTCAAAATTCTCCCCATTTGGTTTTGTGCGCCGTTCAGACAGTTTCCAGCAACTTTTGATTTTTTGAAAAATTTGAAGTGTTTCTGCTAGGTATTCTCTCTGTGACACGAACTCTGTCGGGCCCTCCTTGTAAAGACCGAGCCCGTCAGAGACCGTATGAGGCAGAAACCGAGTTCGGTGTAGATCGTGTAACGATAAGACTGAATCCGGCAAAGACCGGGTGAGGTAGAGACCAGGTGTGGTAGAGCCGGGTCTCGCAGAGTTCGGTTCTGCTAGATATCGGTTAGGGAAACTTTTGAAAAAAAATTCAAAATTTTCGAAAAATTAAAAAATGCTGTAAATTGTCCAAAAAGCACAAAAAACTAAAAAAATTGAAAAATATCAACTTCAAAATTTTTCGATTTTATTTTGTTTTGAGCGCAATTCAGACAGTTTCTAACAATTTTTTATTTTTGAAAAATTTGAAAAAATTTCATAATTTTCCTAACCGATGTCTAGCAGAACCGAACTCTACGGGACCCAGATAAACCACACCTGGTCTCTGCATGTCTCGGTCTCTACCTCACCCAGCCTCTGCCGCACTTAGTGTCATCCTCATACGATCTAAGCTGGACTCGGTTTCTGCCACACGGTCACTGGAGGGCTCGGGCTTTGCAAGTAGGGACCGGCAGAGTTCGTATCATACAGAGAGAATTTATAGCAGTGTTGCAGTGGCGGGGTCCGTCAGATACACGGTATTGCACAGAATGTGATCGACAGAGACCGATTCTGGAAGGGACTGGTTGGGAAAAAAGCTGGAAATTTCCCAAAAAGCGCACATTTTCTTTAAGAAATTCCACATAAATTTTTTTCAAATATTTAAAAAAAATTGTTTTGTGCGCTTTTCAGAAAATCTCCAGATTTTATTGATATTTCTAAAATTTTAAAAATTTTCAACTATTCTTCAAAACTCTCCCCAAGAGTTGCATGCCAGCCTCGGTGAATGCGTCATCCTGTCTCTGCCGGACTCGGCCTATATCTCGAACGATTGGTGACCATCCCGGTGTTTAGAAGAAAATATTGAATTTTTTCAAAATTTTCGAAAAATAAAAAATGCTGGAAATTGTCTGAAAAACGCACAAAACCAAAATTACTTGAAAATTTTGAAATTAAAATTTTTCAATTTTTTTGGGTTTGTGCGCTTTTTGAACATTTTCAGGCATTCTTCGATTTTTTAAAATTTTTGAAACTTTTCAAAAATTTCCACCACCTGATGCCTTGTAGGACCGGTCTGTGTCGGACAGTTTCTGACGTACAGTGTCTCTGAAGGATGCAGTGTGTGCCTAACTCGGTCTCTGCACGGACCGGTCTCTGCATGAAGGGCTCTTACGTGCCTCCTCTAAGAACACTGGAATTTATAGCAGTGTTGCAGTGGCGGGGTCCGTCAGATACACGGTATTGCACAGAATGTGATCGACAGAGACCGATTCTGGAAGGGACTGGTTGGGAAAAAAGCTGGAAATTTCCCAAAAAGCGCACATTTTCTTTAAGAAATTCCACATAAATTTTTTCAAATATTTAAAAAAAATTGTTTTGTGCGCTTTTCAGAAAATCTCCAGATTTTATTGATATTTCTAAAATTTTAAAAATTTTCAACTATTCTTCAAAACTCTCCCCAAGAGTTGCATGCCAGCCTCGGTGAATGCGTCATCCTGTCTCTGCCGGACTCGGCCTATATCTCGAACGATTGGTGACCATCCCGGTGTTTAGAAGAAAATATTGAATTTTTTCAAAATTTTCGAAAAATAAAAAATGCTGGAAATTGTCTGAAAAACGCACAAAACCAAAATTACTTGAAAATTTTGAAATTGAAATTTTTCAATTTTTTTGGGTTTGTGCGCTTTTTGAACATTTTCAGGCATTCTTCGATTTTTTAAAATTTTTGAAACTTTTCAAAAATTTCCACCACCTGATGCCTTGTAGGACCGGTCTGTGTCGGACAGTTTCTGACGTACAGTGTCTCTGAAGGATGCAGTGTGTGCCTAACTCGGTCTCTGCACGGACCGGTCTCTGCATGAAGGGCTCTTACGTGCCTTCTCTAAGAACACTGGTGTGGCAGACAACGCGTAAGGCAGAGTCCGAATCCTGCAGAGGACGGTTGGTGCAGACACAGAGGCAGGCAGCAACCGGGCGAGATAGAGGCCAAGTCCGGCAGAGACAAGGTTAGACATTCACCGAGTTTAGCAGGCATGTATTGGAGTGTGTTTAGAAAAAATATGTTGAATTTATTCAAAATTTTCAAAAAATTACAAATTGCTGGAAATTGTCTGAAAGTCA